TAAACAAAAATACTTGTTTCTTTTTATTCTTAAAATCTCCCAAACAATAGTTGTTTTGCGTGTCAAAACTTTTGGTCGAGAGCGTACAGAATGAAGTCACATATATATATGCAAGTGGCATAAGTTGATCTCGCAAAAATATTATCATTATTTGAGGTATATTTTTGGCATTTTGGATATAAAATTCCACTAGGATTTATAGGATTGTTTTTTTTATCTTTAATCCCTGGAGTTTCTGAATATCAGTGAAAACTGGCCATACCTCTGAAGTTGAAAAAAAAACAAACGATGTACGGTGTTGCGATACTCGTCTTAATTTTCATTATAATATCTAAAGGCACTTAGTCATGCTGCATCGTAAAGTGTATGTTTTCCTAATTTAAATGTATTTCTTACATCCTAATAATTTAACCTAGAACAGACACTTGTCTTTTTCATTTTACACAGGAAAGGACAGTCATAAAGTATCAGGCAATTGTTTTCTCCTTTGGGTTGTTTCTCATTATGTAATGCCAAGTCTACTATCAGATTATTATGCGGTATGGGTATAATCGCGTGCTATATAGATCGTTGATAGATGTCAATGAAACAGTGACTCAACGAAGGAAATAGTCAAAACACTTGTATGGCAGTAAAATTATATTCAGTTACAACACTTTATGTTACTCGCTTTGTGTTACAGACATTTGATGATTTAAAACTAGATATGAATAAATGAAGTGTAAAAAATATGTTGATGTATACTCTCTTATTTTTTTGTTTGGTAGTGAGGGGATGGACTGTTTTACTTCCCTAAATGCATATTTGCAACAAAATATTAGGACTGTAGGTCGCACAGATGTGAGAAATGAACATATTTGATATCAGTCTTTGAAAATGTGATGAAGTGGAATTGTGCATAAATGAAGATGTACGGTATACGTGAATGAGACAGCAACCCCATTACACAAATAATTTAAACGCATATAGTGAGAATATAACACAGTCTTCAACAATAGAAAGGTGTCTTTACAGTGTATGAAGCTTTAAATCGTCACGAGTCTTTAATATTTGCAAAGAAAATAAACAGAAACTATCAAACTTTAAAATCTGCCACCGACACTAAATGCTCCAAATGACATACATATCTTTTAGAAATACAACAACTACTTACGATGTTTCTTAATTTGGACAGGCACATGCATACAAGGCGACGTTAATCTAGTTTATTTTATGCAATTTAATCCATCCCAATTTTTAATCTCGATATATGGAATGACATGTACAACAGATACAAATCAGTACAGGAAAAGCACACAATTCTGTAATTACGATATACATTTATAGTCTAGCGCAAGAGCTAGATGGTAAAAAAGGTGGTCAGCAACCTTCCAACCAATGAGGTACTTAATAACTCTGACACAAGACTACATTTCAAAATCAAAACGAACTGAAGTGACACAAGGTACCAGAAAACTTGACCGTAAAAGCAATCTATATTTTCTCGCAAGATTTGTTTAAATCAAATGTATGCAAGGAAGGGAATACTGATTCAAGTTCGTAACTCTATTATTGACAGAGTATTGTGTTCACTCTCAATATACCTAGTACTAGTATATAATTGACTATATTAGATCTACTAATTCACTATAAAAATATGAATACAACTTTATCTTACCTCCTATACATTTCTAGGAATATGATTGGTTAAAAACAACCGCGTTGAGAACTTGTATGTTTCAATTTGGGGTTAGTAGGCGTGGTTTTTTTTCAATACACGATTAGTAGTGGTGTTACGTCCCTTTGTAAAAACAACACGGTGTTGAGAAATAATCTGAAAGGTTTCAACAGACGAACAAATTGATAATGAACGATTGAAATAAATTCTAAACACATTTAAAGCTAACAAGTTGTTATTGGTGCATTGTTTTGTATAGACCAATGGAAGTAGGTTCTTAATATTTATGACTTGATCACTTTGATAGGCCACTAATAAATAACACATGTTAAGATAGTCGGTAATATAAATTCGTTACACAGTGTGCTAGTGACCTGATACGATACATATGAGGTCAGTAAATTCCATATAGAATTTACTGACCCCATATATATCGTATAAGGTCACTAGCACTTCGTTCTCACGCAATATGGAATTAACTTAACCCATATATATCGTATTAGATCATAAGAATTTGGATAACTGTTTAGTAAACAAGAGTGTGTGCTAGTTGATTCTGTTCTCTGAAGTAATGACGGGTTGCGATACATGCTATTTACAAAAGAAACGAAGATCGACAGGTTTAAAGCAAAATAAATAACCTTCAATGGGAAAAAAGCAAATTCTATGAATCAATTTGACTTAAGTCGAAAGTGTATAAGAAAGTTTGACTTTCATAGCCCAAAACTGACAGACATTTGGTCTAAAGTGAGGTCGATCCCGCAAAAGTACGGGGACTTTCTCAAAATATTTACAAGTCCTGAAATTCACAAAACACAATATTTCTTATTTTACAATCATTTAATGGTACATAATATGTATGCATGCTAAATGACAAAAAGAAGGCTGAAATACCATGCTGTAGCAATTTGAGGGCTGTAATATGAAACAAATATAATTGTAACATAAATAAAAATGTAACATGATTACTAACAACAAATGTGACTAATTGTTATTCAAATGGGTATGATTTCTTAAATTTGAATTTCACATGCATTTCATTAAAGGATTGAAACCACTAATTCAAAGCTCCTATCCTTTCAATGTTAAATTCTGTACATTTAAGCATTTAGTATTGCTTCAAAATTTCTCACCCGAAATATAAGACACAGTTTTTGAAAAACAACAGAATAGTTGGAAATTTGCATATAATAAAATGACATTAATTCCTACACTTGTTAGCTTTATTAATAATATAACCGTTAAATGAGGATGTAAATAAATCCCACTAGTTAAAATGTTCCTGCAGCTAAAAATCCTACTTCACTAGTAAATATCTAAATTTGTGATGGAAATATAAAGTTATGATTAATATACGGATTATTTATCCGTGCTCTAAAAGTTTATGAATAATAAAAATATTAAATTTATTGAAATCTAAGACAGCACTGCAAAAAGTTGAGACATTTACAATCCATTAGAAGGACCCAACCGAACATCATCCTCAAGGAAAGTAAAATTGACAATAGGTAATGAAAAATCGTCTTGTTGAACATAAATTCTGGTATCAGGATTACTATGAGTAATTCGTTGTTCAAAGGTTTGAACCTTTCTGTTTCAACACAAACAAATTTAATCAAATGTATGTTTTTGTTTAATTTTTTTATCGAAACATTTCTAATTTCTATTTTTAATTAACTGTTGCTGTTAACGTTACTCCTACTCAGTGTCAGCTATTAAGCGCATATATGTCAGGTAAGCGATGAATTCGCATAGCCATTTCTTATTTTAAAGATCTATTAGAGTGTGGATGTATCTTTGTCTTTCTCTCTTTTAAAAGCCGTGTGTTAATTAAACCTGATATACATATTTTTTCTTCAAATTTGATCGACATTAACAATGTATGTATTAACAACTGCGTTCACCTTTGAAATAATCTTGTATATTAAAATGTTTAGTTTCAATGTTATTTCAGTGTTTTAACAAGCTGCAGCCAAAATACTACGTAACCCTGCACGTCGTTTGGAATTCTATGTACGATTGGGATTGAAGGACTTCTAAAATATGCAAAGGAAAATCACAAGCAGATATTTGCTCAAAGAAAACAAGGAAAGTACATTTTCGTTATTGCGTTCGTAAATGCTCTCCATTCTCGCCATATTAAATTCGAACATACACCAGTAAGACTTCAGAAAATGGAAAGTCATAATGACAACAGTTTTAAGACTATTGTGAATAGCGGAAAAAATGGTAGTAGCTATATCATTTCCAGGTAAAAAGTTTTTCTTGTGTAAGCACAGCCGAATACTATTTTCTTTTTCCAGTGTTTGATGTAACTGTGTATGAACAAATGATCGATCTTTATCTGCATAATACACAAAGGCGTCATACAGATATTCGTTTTCATTTTCGTCAGTTTGGGGTATCTTACTTTAAGATCGAATTTTCACCGTATAGTAAAAGATCATAGCTTCCATCAAAATCGGTAGCTAATACCCAGGATGAGAAAAATGAAAAATAAAAGAATTGTTACAACTTGTCCAAAAATAAGAACTTCATATGATATACAATCTTTTTCTAAACTTTTGAAAATTTCTGGGATAATTGTCATGAGGGTACGTTCTCTAGTTGATAAAATTGACAAAAGGTATGATTTTTATTATCAAGTTGCACACTTGTACTTCCAATCAATTTTATAAAACTCTCAGAGCTACATGTGCAAACCAGTCTGTTTTCTAACACGTTCATAGAACGATTTTTACTCATATCAGCTATAAAATTTATCTCTAGAATCGAATGGCTATCGATAAATGTAATAATGTTATTTCTTAAATTAAGGAATGACAGATGTGTCAAATGTGATAATTTGAAATCGATTTAAAAAAAAATATTAGAACTTAGATCTAACATTTCAAGTTTTCTCTGAGATTAGAAAATCAGATTAGGCAAAATAGAAATCCAGTTTTCAGATAAATCAAGTTTTTTTTTAAATTGATCAAATTTTCGAATATTTGTCCGTGGGTATCGGACGGTAACACAAGACCTAACAAATTATTTCACAACAGTAGCTCCTCTAATATGTTGAAAACAGGACTAAAGAAGAATGTCGAAATGTTGGAGGACACATTTGAGATAGGTTTAAGTATTTCAAATTCTTTTTATTTTTTAAAGGACCAATCAAGTGTGACAAAATATTGTTGCTCACATGTTCTAGTTTATTATTGGATAAAATTACTGTCGCTATCTTATATTTTGAGTCACTAGATCGAAAACACAATGCTTTTAGTCTATAGGGTATAGGTATGATGGTAACAGCATTGTCCTCTTGGAGATATTGTCTACTTTTATAAAACAATTCTTTTACCTGTATATTCTGATTTTCATTAAATTGAGCCTCTCTGTGCCAGGTACATACAAAGTTCATGTTGCATGTTTCGGGTTGACAATCTTCCTTGTAAGCTTTAAAGATATCGGAAATGTCAAAAGTTTCTATTGACATGGACATTAGGTCATACAGGTACGGTCCTATAGAAAACATGTTATCTCTTGTTGATACATACTTCAATGTTTTGGGGAAATATTTCAGAGCACCAGATTCTATTTGCTTGGATGGCCGTATTGTTCAGATGTCTGATATGAGATGTCTGTAAATATGTGTTCATATCAAAACCTTTTGAATTTTGTTTAATTTTAGAATTTTAACTGCTGAAAACTGAAGATCGTTCGTAACATTTTCTAAGACTTGAAATTTTAAAACATGTCTTTGTTGATAAATCAAGGGAGGTAATGTTTTTTATTTTATCAAATGTACCTTTCTATGCTGATTTTATTTTGCACACAGATAAATTTAAATGACGAATTTGTAGTACAAACTGAAAAGTTTGTGGTGTCAAATGGATCATTGAACAATTTCCTGTAAAACCCAGAAAAATCTAGACGCATCAACCGTTTCAGATTACTGAACTGTTTACCTAGAATAGTTGTCTCTTCATATACAAAATCCTTTTTCAACGTTTTCAAACGCACTAAGGAGGATATATCAGGTTGAAATTCTTGATAAAAGTTTCCTTTCAAATTCAAATAAACAAAGCTTTGAAAAATTACAAACACATTGTATGATAAACTTTTCCTACTAAGACTATTTTGTTGAAGGTCGAGTTCTTTCAACTGTTCCAAACCGATGAAAGATGATGGCGAAAGTGTATTTATACTATTGAAGGAAAGATCCAACGGTCTCAGGCGTCTATTTTCCCCAAAAGTACCATCTTTTACTTCCTTTAATCTATTCATTCGCAGTGTAAGTTTTACAATTATATCCGGAAACCTCCGTATTTGTGTCATATTAAGCCCTAAACAATCTGCATTATAAAGCGATGATTTCTTGTCTTTTTTACACTTACAATCATGATAGAATTCACATGGTGAAAAGTTTTTATGACTGTTATTTGTTGTTGCTGATGGCGTACAAAGTATTCCGAATGCTACAAAAAATATATATAACGGCCACATCATGCCACGTTCATCAATGATGAGTGTTACTATTTCTAGACCTAGAACATCTGAACGTAGACCGTAATAACAACAATTGGATTTAACGAATAATCACTTCAATCTCCAAAGGTTCTCTTTTTTTATCTTTAACACATGTATATCCCATTCTGCTGCTCTTAGAAAATATGAAGTTTTTATTACAATTTGGAACACAAAAGTTAAACATTTATCTATATGCTTCCTTGTCATTTGTTTAACGTTAGAAGATAGACATCTCAAATATATGTAGAATTGTTCCATAAACATTCACAGCTAATAATATTACATTTATAATTTTCCCTTTAAATTCACAGCTATTCATATGTGTTAATTATTTTTCAATTCACTATTACCTTTTTTTCGTGAAATTGCAAGCATGTTAGTGTTTTTAGTAATTTAAATATGACTCTCCTTTTTTGTGATATTATATACTAGAAAATATTATTTTAATAAAATAGACAAACTTTACTTTATGGAATATTGTTTTGTTTATAAAGTTAAGTTACCCTCTTACATTACAGAATATTACGACCTCATTGTGCATGTTGAAATTGTTGCAAAATTTGAAGTGGAATATCAGATTTTAGTTAAATGGCCCTGTAGCAAAACTGCCGTTATGAAATCCGTATGAATGAATGACTGCCAAAACTGCCACAAACTCTGACAAAAAGCGTTCCAGTAAAAGCAAGACTGCATTCAACAAATGCAAGAATAGTGTATTCAAACTCGTCATAAATACCAGGATTAAAATTGTGTACTCCAGACTCGCGTTTTGTCTACAAAAGACTTAACTGTAACGCTCGAATCTGCGACGAGGGTGTGGGGGTAACGACCTTGACTACCCATGACGGTCTTGCTCGGTCGGTTATAAAAGCAGTTAAAAAGGCCAAATAAAATACTAAGTTGAAGAGCATTGAGTATCAAAAATTACGAAATGTTTGATAAAAAACAGTTAAGATGGTATATTTTTTGAGGTACAAAAACGTTAGAATTTCGAAAATTCAAAGTTTTGTTAACATTTAATTTTTAATTATGACCATATCAATGATTACTGGCTGATGATACAATCAGGGAGGAAACCTCCACCAGCAGTGGCATCGAACCAGTGGTTGTAAATAAACTCATTATAGATACTAGTACGAGGATAAACATTGTGTACCCCAGACGCGCGTTTTGTCTACAAAAGACTAATCGGTGACACTTTGATAAAAATATGTGTAGTAATTTAATTCAAATAAACAAGAACTCGTGTATGATATTTAAAAAAAATGCCTTAAATCTGACAGTTAAATTCTCGAAACTTGAATGACAAACAGAAAAAAGTCAATATCAAAAGGTAAATAATATCGTTGATACGAGGATAAACATTGTGTACCCCAGACGCGCGTTTTGTCTACAAAAGACTAAAGAAAAGTAAAGAAGGAATCATGGCAAAACATCCCTTGCAGAACAGTCAAAAACCTTTGTCAATCAATGCAATCAAGATAAGAAGCTGTCCAATGGAACAACAGAGGCCATACCCGATGCTGAACACAAGAGACCAGATTGTAAATGTGTACATTACTTCGAACGGATAATTGGGTCATTGCTTTTTTGTTTTTGATGGACTCTTAACTTTTTACTGTAGCGTTGTAAGAAAGATTAAACATTCGTATATACCTTAAATTTATATAAAAGATCATTTAATAAATTTAATAAATGAAAGGTTCTGTTGATGTTGTGTTGCTAAGGTCGCTCGGAACATTAAGAGTGTAACCAAAAGATATATTTTGCTAGAAAATATATTTAACAAAAATGGTACACGGAAGGTAAAGCGTTCGGTTGGGACTGTGGTTTATTCGACTGAATAGGTCCAGTGATTTCGAGTGCAGATTGATTTTTTTTTAGACATACAATCAAATCGATTTACTCTTATTTCTTAATTCAATTTTACGTTGTATTAGAAAATAATGTCTGTTTGTGTACATTTTGCATCATATTAAAACGAAGAAAACCCAGCTGGTGACGATTGTCCGATAAATATATAAATATACAAACAATGGTTTTTGTGCCCTATGTTAACGTATTTACTCATATATATATATATTGGACATTAAAAATAAATAGTCATTTTGGGGTCTTTTTATAGCTTGATATGCACGGTATTGGTTTTGCTTAATTATTTACGGCCGTACGGTGACCTATAGTTGCTTACTTCTACGTCACTTGTCTCTGATGGAGATTTGTCTCATTGGCAATAATGATATATCTTCATATTATTATATATTAAGTTTGAACGATGCAAAACCCAATAAAACTGGGAAAAATTCAGATATTCAATGAGATTAGTGATATATTTTGCTCTCAAATAATTACGTAATTTTGATTACCTTTTTGTCAATTTTATAAGTATTGATTGTGGAAACATTAAAATGACACTTTTTAGATTTATAGTATAGAGACTATTGATATAGATATTACGAAGTTTCACATGATCAAGATTAAACTTTTTAAAAGTGAAAAAAGTCCCATTATCCTTTTTCTTATTTATCTTTCTTCCTCTATAGTTACCACTGCTACTAACTGAAGCAGGACGTAAAGTTTATCGGTGAGTGAAATATGAACTTCTGTGTATATTTTCAAGGTGATGGTATTATCAAAATATGTTTTTCCTATGAAATACCTGTACACTTCCCTGCATCTTTATCTTGTACAGATTTAAAGCACAAACACTTCATGATTGTCATTCGACATTTTAAAGGAAATGTTTCTACTGCATAAAAATAAGGAATCAACAGCACCATTTCTTCTATTCATTAATTACAGATAAATAGTTCAAACAGCGTATACAATTTAAAGCCGATGACAATTATCGTTTGTATTTTCATATAAAAGTCATTCCTATTTGAATAAATCTCAGCTACATAATTCACACTTCACAATTCACAATGTATGTCGCATCTTAAGAAAGTAGTAAATATGACACACATAATGGAAAGGCCAACACATCTTTTATAAACATTCATACAAGCCAGATGATCAATGTTGTTTGGTTTCACGTAGCTCTCTTTTGACATCGAACGGCACTTTTTTCGTTTGTATGCAGTGATTTAACAAGAAATATAATAAAGAATTTGTAAGAAGTCGCAGATCTTTTAAAGCTTATGCAAAAACAATAGTATCATATATGAAAGTTAATGTTTTAGAATGGGCAACCAGAAGCAATAGGGTTAATCACGATGGTCACAGACTCACAATTCATAGCTACAACAAATTATATCAAATGTTTGTTTTTCATTTATTAATAGCAAATAATATTCAATTTCAAAATTTGATTAAATGTTGCTGTCCCTGAAATCGTTACTTAGATTTACTACTACTCTGTTCGCGCTAGCCCATACTTAGATACTAGGTAAGAGATATCTGTCTGTACCTGTTTCTCTCCGATTAGTAAAATGATATATCAGAAAGTGGTTGGATCTTGGGATTTTTAACTCTTTTACACAAATCATATATTTTAAAATGTTTCGCTACAATGTTATTCCAATGCAGTAACAAGCTGCCGCCAAAATACTACGTCACCTTGCTCGTCGTTTGGGAATTCTATGTACGATTGGGATTGAACGACTTCTAAGATATGCATGGGAAAATCACGAGTGGATATTTGCTCAAAGACCACAAGGAAAAGTACATTTTCGTTATTGCGTTCGTAAATACTCTCCATTCTCGCCATATTAAATTCGAACATACACCAGTAAGACTTCAGGTAATGGTAAGTCATAATGACAACAGTTTTTCGACTATTGTGAATAGCGGAAGTAATATTAGTTGCTATATCATTTCCGGGTAAAAAGTTTCTCTTATGTAAGCATAGCCGAATACCATTTTCTTTTTCCAGTGTTTGAAGTAACTGTGTATGAACAAATGTTCGATCTTCATCTGCATAAGACACGAAGGCGTCATACATGTATACATTTTCATCTTCGTCGATATGTGGTATCTTACTTCGAGATCTAATTTTCACCATATAATAGAAATACCTTAGCTTCCATCGAAATCGGTAACAAACACCCATGATAAGAACAATTAGAAAAAATAAAATTGTTACAACTAATCCATAAATAAGAACTTCATACGATGTACAATCTTTTTCCAATGTTTTGTAGAGTTCGGGAATATTTTCCATGAGGACACGTTCTCCTGTTGATAATTGACAAAAGTAATGAGTTTTATTAACAATATGAACACTCGTACTTCCCATCCAATCTATAAAATTTTTGGAATTACATGTACAAACCAGTTTGTTCTCCAACATGTTTATAGACAGATGTTTTCTGTTGTCAGCTAAGGAATTAATCTCAACAATAGTATGACTATCGATAAATGTGATTAAGTTATTTCTTAAATCTAGGTATGACAGATTTATCAAATGTGATAATTGAAAATCAATATTTTCGATAAAATTGTCACTCAGATCTAAGATTTCCATTTTGATTTGAGACTTAAAAATCAGTTTAGGTAATTTTGATATTCTATTTTGAGATAAATCAAGTTTCATTACATTTAACAAGTGTTGGAATGTGTTTCCGTGGATATCATACGGTAAAGCCAGTCCTAGTAAATTATTACTCAATAACAGCTCTTTCAACATGATGAAGTCTTGACTGAAGAAGAATGTCGAAACGTTCGAGCACATATTTGAAGAAAGATCTAAGTATCTCAAATCCTTTACATTTTTTAAGGGGCCAATCCAACGTGTCAAAATATTGTTGCTCAGATCAACACTTTCTAGCTTATTATTTGATAAGTCTACTTCCGTTATGTTATATTTTGATCCACTACCCCGGAAAATTAATTTCTTAAGGTTGTAAGGTATGGGTATGAGCGTTCTACCAAATTCACCCTGTTCAAAAAACAATTGTTTAAATTTAGAATCATTAAAGTCATTATATCTTACATCAGTGTGCCAAGTACACACAAGGTCTAAGTTGCATCTTTCAGGATGTCGATCTTCCTTGTGAAAAGAAAACATGCCGGATGCATCTACAGTTTCAAATGATAAAGTTAGTAAGTCATACAGGTATGGTCCTATAGAAAACATGTTGTCTTTAACTGACAAATAGATCAATGTCCTGGGGAGAAATCTCAAAGCACCAGGTTCTACTTGCTGAAGACGGTTGCTGTCCATATGAACTTCTTGGATTGATGTGTTATGCAGATGCCTTATATGAGTGGTCTGCAAATATGTATTCATGTCGAAGACTTTATGGATTTTGTTGACTTTTAAAATTTTGATTGCGGAAAACTGAATGTCGGCTGTTACGTTTTCTAACACCTGAAATTTTAAACATGTATTTCCTGATAAATCAAGGAATGTAATATTTTTCATCATATTAAAAGTTCCTCTCTGCAAAGATCTTATTTTGCACATAGCCAAAGTTAAATTTCGAACGTGTGGTACAGTTTGGAATGTATGTGGTGTTAAAAATGGCACTGAACAATGTCCTGTTAACCCAGAAAAATCCAGATGCTCTAGCCGTTTGAGATTACTGAACTGTTTATTCAGAATTGTTGTTTTGTTATACACAAAATCCATTTTCAAAGTTTCCAATCGCACCAAAGATGAAATGTCTGGTTGATATTCCTCATAAAAATTTCCTTTCAAATTCAAATAAATCAAGTTTTGGAAACTGGCACACCATTGGTGTGTAAAACTTGTCTTACTTAAATTATTATGTTGTAGGTCGAGTTCTTTTAACTTTTCTAACCCAATGAAAGAAGATGATGAAATTGTTTTGATTTTATTGAATGAAAGATCCAACATTCTCAGAAGTCTGTTATCAAAAAAGATACCATCTTTAATCACCTCCAATCTATTCATTCGTAGGGACAGTTTTGAAATTATATTCGGAAAGCTCCGTATTTGTGTTATATTTAGTCCTGAGCAATCTGCAATGTAAAGCAATGATCCTTGGTCTTTTTTACACTCACATCTATGATAGAACTCACACGGTTGAAATCCTGAATGCATTTTAATCGTTGAAACTGACCTACAAATTGTTTCGAATGTAAGAAATATATATAACGACCGTATCATGGCGATGAATTATATAGCGTATTTATAATAATTCTCAAAGTTGACTTTCGTGAAGTGAAAGCGACGGTGATATCATTTAGAGTTATCAAAGAGATACTTCAATCTATAAATTTAATGCAGTCATCTGAAACACATGTGTATTCAAATAATCATTCTTTGAAAATATGTGTAGTCACTACAAGTGATACTAAGATTGTAATGCAATAATAAAACTTCATCTTCTTTATTTCCTTGTAAATTTATTCAACATCAATAAATCACGTAAAAAGAAACATCAAATATGTTATGATTGTACAGAAATTCCTTAAAATTTACAGCTATTTACACTTTTAAACATGATGTCTTCCTGCTTTTGCTACATTTTAGAAATAAACATTCCGTCTCTACTTCCTACAAATAAAAGTAAATTTTGTTGTAAGTAATTTGTTGTATAAGTAATTTTGATATAATTAATATACAGATAAAAGTCTCGTTCTGGCTATTCAAACATTACGAATGTTATTGTTATTAATAAATTCATTTTGGAGATAATAGAATTATAGCGTAAACAATGGGCTATTGATAGGTTATAATGTAACAACACTTCATTAATTAACCCAAGTAAGTCCAGGTAAAACATGTGGATATTAAAGAGACGAATACTTCCTATAACATTTTTTTTATTGATTTCATAGCATAATTCATATGTTATGCACATAAAGCACTACATAAATTAAATACAATGTCGTACAGTGTTATATATAACCAAAAGTCATTAAGGATATATGAATAAATAATATATTAAATGACAATATACCACATTTTCCACAGCAGTAAATTTCTGATTAATTAATTTATGGATTGATTGATTGGTGTTAACGCTACTTTTAGCACTATAGCTTTATTTTGTGACGGTAATTTTTTTATTGATGGTGGAAGACGGAGAGCCCAGAGAGGCCCACAGCCCTTCGACAAAAAAACTAGCAATCCTAAACCATTAAGATTGGAGTCGAACGCAGCTGCCACGTGCGGGAATTCGAACGCACAACCTCAGCGTGACAGGCTATTGATGCAGTAGTTCGAATACTTAGACCATTCGACCACCGAGGCCCCTTGTCTCAGTAAATTGTCATTGAAATAAAACCTTAATTTTTCTTCAGCATTAAATTCTCATTTGAACACACAGAGCAATCACAAAGTCTTCGTCAATGTGCTCAAGTTACGTGTTTTGGCTTGATTGAGGCGTAACTAAAACATTTGCATATTTGCTAAGAGTAGTTAGATTTTTTTATAATAAATATTTGTAGATGCCGCAGTTGCAAAATAAACAGAATAATCTATTTCAATTTTTATTAGGTTAATGACATTAATGACAATAAAGTCTTTAAACTTGAAGATCCACCGTTCATTTTGTGTGTGTTTGTATTTTTATGTATGTGTTTGTGGGGGAGGAGGGTATTTTATAAAAGATAAATTGTTGGATAGCTGAGTTGATCCATGATTTAAATTAGAAAACAAACAATGTATGTGTCAATCTATTCTTACATGCATGTGAATATTTGCATTGTAGCAAAAGTATTTAACATATTCAACGTCGATCTATGTATTAGCCACCATATCAACATATACAAAAATATATATTTCAATCGTTGTTTATTCAACTCGTTCAAATTTTTTAAACATTCAAAATTACTATCACACGAGAAACATCTTATGAAATATTTGAAGAACATGCCTGGGAAGCACATTTATTGTCTATTGAACATCTGTTATATTGTGTTCAATATATTACTTCAAAAAAGAAAAAAACAACATTGGTACAATCTATTCCCTGCATTTCAACATGTAAATGAATAAAAAAATATAATTCAACATACGACTTTTCAATTACAGGATGTACAATTTGCATATTTGTTCGTGTTAATATCTAATTATTCGATTGTAATCAGCGAACAAAACTTTTCAATATTAATTCTTCCAATTACGGCATTCCATACGTTTTACGTCACAAACATCGAGCAAAAAATAATAAAAGAAATATTAATTATTGATTTTCCTCGTTATAAGTATCAATATATTGATAAAACTTTATAACTATGTATTTTTTGTTTGAATGAAACATATAAAGGTGTGTATGACACAACTGGTTTTTTTAATGATCGAATAGCAGGAATGAACCGTCATTATTTCAAGTCATCAGAACTTATCCTTATGATCACGTTAGTGTTTTGAGTAGTTAATTAAAACAATAGTTCATGTGACTTTCTATTATTGTGATTATATGTAGTAAAATTGTATATTCATAAATAAATAAACGACTCAACTTTAATGTATCTCTGTTTAAAAAAAGCTATTATTCTCCCTGACATCACAGAAAAGTTACTAATAACCTAATCAGTATATGCGTTATGAAAGCTACATGTAATGTTTTAACCACATGTAACACTTTTATTCAGATGAAAAAATCTTAGTTTTTGGATAATTGTCACGAAAAAGATTAAAACAACACTCAAAAAATTTCGATCAAAGGCGAGTGTTTGAAAGCCAATGATACATAAGAGCCAACACAATTAAAGAGCTATATAAACCTAAAAAGGACTTAAAAATAGCCCAAACCATCTAAGATCTGAGGGATTTGAAACCTTAGTTTCTTTTGAATTTCCAAACTTCTGCAATGTTTACGGAAATCTTTGTCTAAAGTAGCAGCTAATTTTTCTTTGCTTTTTAGGGGGGTAAGCCAGAAGTAGATATATTTTATATCGGACTGGAATCACTGTCGTGGTAGCTCTCTTTTGTTATAAGATAATTTTGTGGGAGAATGTATTGCCTCTCTACCCTTTCCTCGATTAGCATATTTGGATGAAATGTTAATGATATTTGTGTTTGGCAATTTTCATTTGAGGATTGATTACACATGTTACAAATTATTGTACTAATATGTATGTTTTTATGTACATGTGTTTATCTATGATGTTCTTTCGGCCATTGTTAATGCATATCAATTCACATCTGTAATCATGCCATGAACTTAAGAGCTAACTTATTAGCAAAGTTTATTCCCATACACTTCTAATTTCCCGACCACATGCCGTAACGTTCTATCTACCGTTCAGAACCTACCCGTTGAAATAGTTGTTAGTTTGTTTTCGCCCTATAGAATATAAGTGAAGTATTTGCAACTGCATTTCAATCATGATACAATCAATCTAAATAGATAAACATAATTTGGACCGTAGTGTCCTTTGATGCCAAATTAAAGGCAATTAATGGATTTATATAATTTGATCTAAACGAGAGGCGAAAGATACCAAAGGGGTATTCAAACTCATAAGTCGAAAGCAAACTGATTACTTCATGGCAAAAAACGAAAAAATAATCAACAGTCTACAAAACACAATGGTCAATTAACTCGTGATGGCGTCCGTAAAGTTTGATTCGGAAGAGATGGCTTCAACTTTCTGATTCAGAACCCTTGGTTAAATGGCTTCCTTGTAAGCAGCAACTCACTTTCAAAGGACTCATGATAGGAAACCCAAGCTCTAATATATCATATCAACCAGGTGTGTATAATTTAGATGCAGGCACTGCTACATATAAATGAAAAGTTCACAATTTGAAAGATTATATCATCTATTTTGTACGCGAAATATTTTTTCTTTCCGATTTCGCGTTTTCGACTTCGCATTTTTGCGTTTTTGACTTCGCGTTTTCGCGTTTTCGTTTTCGCCCTATAGAATATGAAGGGCGAAAACGCAAAAACGCGAAATGGCATTAACCGGCCACCATATGCATCTGTGGTATCCTTTATTTTAATTTCGATAAGATAGATTTTTTCAATAAAGTCACCAAACTGTGAATTATTAAGTGACAGGATGGCATCTTCTAGTAAATAGCGGAGTTAAACGAAAATGCAAGCCTCTTATTATATTTATAAAATCTTTCTCAAACAATATTCGTTTTTAGTGTTTAAATTTTGGTCTAGAGTGTGCAGAATGAAGGTTACATTTATGCAAGTGGCACACGTTGATCACGCGGAAATAGTATCATTGTTTAGGTAAATTTTATTTTAGATATAAATTTCACTAGGTTTTATATGATTTTTTTTAAATCCCTGGTGTTTAACAATATCAGTAAAAATTGGCCACACCTCTTAAGACGGTTTAAAAATTTGAGCTACGGTGTGGCGATACTCGTCTTAATGTTCATCTTAATATCTAAAGGCACTTCGTTATACTGTACCGTAAATTGTAGATTTCCTAATTGTTTTTTATTCATCTAATTTAAACTAGAACGAACACTTATCGTTCAGTTTCATCAGGAAAGGACAGTGCTACAAAATCAGGCTGTTGTTTTCTGTTTGCGTTGTTCACATATTGAATGTAACATGTGTAATGTCAAGGCCTCTTTAAGATTACTATGCGGTATGGGGTACAGTCGCGTTCTATGCAGATCGTGGATATATGTCAGTGAAACAGCAACCCTATGAATTAGCATCACAAGGAAATAAGTGGTCAGAATACATGCATGGCAGTAACATTAACTTTAGTAAAAACTGAATGTTAGTAGCTTTGTGTTGAAGACCTATGATTATTTAAAACTGGATATTAATAAATGAAGTGTTAAAAAATAGGTTGATGTATACTCACTTATTTTGTGTTTGGTAGTGGGTGGAAGTGGTGTGCTTTTATAACTCCCCTAAATGCATATTTACATCAAATATTGTGATTGTAGTTCGCACGGATTTGAGAAATGAACACATTAATTATAAGTCTTTGAAAGAAAAAATGTGAGGAGGTGGGACTATGCACCCTTTCCTGGATCTTGATATCTATATCTTTAATGGGAAGCTTAATACCAAAATTTACGATGAAAGAGATGATTTTTCATTTCCTATTGTTACTTATCCATTTTTAGATGGTGACGTTCCCTTGTCACCATCTTATGGTGTTTATATATCTCATCTTGTTCGATTTGCTCGTGTATGTAAAACGTATTTGATTTTAACGAAAGAAATCGATGTATTACTGAAAAATTATTACACCAGGGTTTTCGATGTCAAACATTTGTCAAAACATTTACTAAATTTTATCATCGGTACAAGGACATTATTCGTAAATATAAATCAACGTGCAGTCATTTTATACATTCATATATTTCACATCCAATCTTTTATGGTAATATTCTATATTAGTGGTTGTATACCTTACGAAACGCTCGCAGTTACTGAAAGCAAGCTCGATGTACTTACCCTACACGTATGCAATTATACCATTATACACTCTTATATCGGTGGATGTGCTTTATAGAAGATTAAATACAGTTACTTCATTAACTGTACATGAAGACATTATTGTGTGTAATTCCTACAAAAAAAATGTACAGAATGCCTATACAGAATGCAGAAAAAAAACCATTAAAAACATTTTAGAATTGCTTCAAAATTGATCCCCAGAAATATCAGACACAGTATCTGAAAAACAACAGAATATTTTGAAATTGACAAATAATAAAATGACATTAATTCCTACACTTGTTAGCTTCATTAATAATATATCGTTATAGGAGGGTGTAAATAAATACCTCTTGTTAATACATTCCTGCTGGTGAAATCCTACTTCACTAGTAAATACCTATATTTGTGATGAAAATATAAAGTTGTGATTAATTTACGGAATATTTATCCGTGCTATAACAGTTTTTGAATAATGAAAATATTAAATTCATTGAAATCCAAGACAGCACTGCAAAACGCAAATATCGAACAAGTTGAGAACTTTACACTCCATAAGAAGGAGCCAACGGAACATCATCCTCAAGAAAAGTAAAATTGACAATAGGTAATGAAAAATCGTCTTGTTGAACATAAATTCTGGTATCAGGATTACTATGAGTAATTCGTTGTATAAAGGTTTGAACCTTTCTCTTACAACCACAAACAAATTTAATCAAATGACTGTTATTGGTTTTTTTAACGAAAAATTTCTAGTTTTCATTTTTTATTAACTGTTGCTGTTAACGTTACTCCTACTCAGTGTCAACTATTATGTGCATAGATGTCATGTGAGCTATGAATTACTATAGCTATTTCTTTCTGATAAGTAAAAGATCCACTAAAGTGTGGATGTATCTTTGTCTTTTTTCTCTCTTTTAAACACCGTGTGTTCATTTTACCTGACTATATACATATTTGTTTCTTCAAATTTCATTTATAGATTATCTTTGGTCATCTCAACGAGATAGATTTTCTCGCTTGAGCCGGTACGGCGAAAGTGAGAAAAGCAATCGAGTTGAGATGACCAATGATAATCTGTTTATCGCTATTTTACCTATGACGACGTTGTTAATTTCATTGACAACAGCACGTGCACCCTAAGTTTCTAGCGATAATTTTTCATATCACTCTACTGTGCTGAGAAAGGAAATTATCAGTCAGTAAGATCAAAGGAAAATTTCGTAAAATAGCGAAAATAACATTTACAATGAATTTGTGGGCGAAGGACTTGTCTTTATATATAGATATATATTAATTGCCAAGCAATGTAATTTTAACACACATTTTAAGAAATGTTAAAAAATATTTACAATGCGATAAAAAAATTAACGCAATATTTCGCATGACAAACTAGCTTCATCGGGCGTGCATCTATCCAGGTGAAATCGGATTCAGACAAGAAATTTTAAAGCTTATTGTACATCAAATTTTGCTGCTTAATAAATGACTATATATGTATATATATATAAACAAGTCTAAATTGAAAACAACGTTCAAACCTATGATTGCGTTGGATAAAAACCGCAATTTTTATACGTGTGCATGCAAAACAAATTTCTGGTAGAGGGGTCTAAATACAGCACAAACAACATTTTCCAAAAGACCAAATGAGTGAAAAAGTATATTTTAACAAAACGCATTTGACTAGCAGGTCGAACAACGGATGTTCTTAAACCCTGCTGACTGCCATTAGCGATTGCCAAATAAACGGATCACAAGATGTAACAAAACAGATCTTATTATTAAATTATTACTAAACAGAAAACAAAAAACTTGCGGAAAAGATGGTATACCGCAAACACGAGGTGCAAAAATTTGTACACCATATCCGGATTTCGACAATTAATGTCTCTTCAGTGATGTTAGGAATCGAAACGGTATTTGGAAGGCCATATAATTGACCTCAATTTAGGATAGACTCTTGAATTTTGAAAGAGTCAAAATAGGATGAACGGATCATATAAACCCAAAGGCAAATATAATACAAGCCCAAACGAAAAAATATAAACAAGTCTAAATTGAAAACACCGTTCAAACCTATGATTGCGTTGGATAAAAACCGCAATTTTATACGTGTACATGCAAAACAAATTTCTTGGTAGAGGGGTCTAAATACAGCACAAACAACATTTTCCAAAAGACCAAATGAGTGAAAAAGTATATTTTAACAAAACGCATTTGACTAACAGGTCGAACAACGGATGTTCTTAAACCCTGCTGACTGCCATTGGCGATTGCCTAATAAACGGATCACAAGATGTAACAAAATGGATCTTAACTAATAATTCAATACCAAACAGAAAACAATAAACTTGCGGAAAAGATGGTATACCGCAAACAAAAGGTGCAAAAATAGTACACCATATCCGGATTTCGACAATTAATGTTTCTTCAGTGATGTTAGGAATCGAAACGGTATTTGGAAGGCCATATATTTTACCTCAATTTAGGATAGACACTTGAATTTTGAAGAGTCGAAATAGGATGAACGGATCATATAAACCCGAAGGCAAATATAATACAAGCTCAAACAAAAAAATATAAACAAGTCTAAATTGAAAACATCGTTCAAACCCTATGATTGCGTTGGATAAAAACCGCAATTTGTATACGTGTGCATGCAAAACAATTTTCTTGGTAGAAGGGTCTAAATACAGCACAAACAACATTTTCCAAATGACCATAAAAGTGAAAAAGTATATTTTAACAAAACGCATTTGACTAGCAGGTCAAACAACGGATGTTCTTTAACCCTGCTGACTATATATATATAAATGTATATTAAACATTTTGTATAACAGTAAAGCAAAGATTGGGCCCTGTTATTCATGTATGTATTAACAACTGCGTTCATCTTTGAAATAATCTTGTATATTAAAATGTTTAGTTTCAATGTTATTTCAGTGCTTTAACAAGCTGCCGCCAAAATACTACGTCACCTTGCTCATCGTTTGGGAATTCTATGTACGACTGGGATTGAACGACTTCTAAAATATGCAAAGGAAAATCACGGGCAGATATTTGCTCAAAGACCACAAGGAATAGTACATTTTCGTTATTGCGTTCGTAGGTGCTCTCCATTCTCGCCATATTAAACTCGAACATACACCAGTAAGACTTCAGATAATGGTAAGTCATAATGACAATAGTTTTACGACTATTGTGAATAGCGGAAGTAACGTTAGTCGCTATATCATTTCCGGGTAAAAAGTTTCTCTTGTGTAAGCATAGGTGAATACCATTTTCTTTTTCCAGTGTTTGAAGTAACTGGGTATGAACAAATGATCGATCGTCATCTGCATATGACACAAAGGCGTCATACATATATTCATTTTCATCTTCGTCGATTTGCGGTATCTTACTTCGAGATCTAATTTTCACCATATAGTAAAAGTATCTTAGCTTCCATCGAAATCGGTAACAAATACCCATGATCAGAACAATTATAAACAATAAAAGTGATACAACTAGTCCAGAAATGAGAACCACATATGATGTACATTCCTTTTCTAATGTTGTGAATAGTTCTGGAATATTTTTCATCGGGACACGTTCTCCTGTTGATAATTGACAAAAGTAATGAGTTTTATTAACAATATGTACACTTGTACTTCCCATCCAATTTATAAATTTTTGGGAACTACATGTGCATATCAGTTTGTTCTCCAACAGGTTGATAGCAAGATTTTTTCTTTTGTCAACTATGGAATTAATATCGACAATCGTATGACTATCGATAAATGTAATGAAGTTATTTCTTAAATTTAGGTATGACAGATTTATCAAATGTGACACTTGAAAATCAATATTTTCGATACAATTGTCACTAAGATCTAGTACTGCCATTTTTCGCTGAGACTTAAAAATCAGTTTTGGTAATTTTGAAATTTTGTTTTTAGATAAATCCAGTTTTATTACATTTAACAAGTTTTGGAATGTGTTTCCGTGGATATCAGACGGTAAGACAAGTCCTAGTAAATTATTACTCAATGATAGAACTTCCAATATGTTGAAGTCTGGACTGAAGAAGAATGTCGAAAGGTTGGAGCACATATTTGAAGATAGATCCAAGTATTTCAAATTCTTTACATTTCTTAAGGGGCCAATCCAACGCGTCAAAATATTGTTGCTCAGGTCAACACTTACTAGCTTATTATTGGATAGCTCTACTTCCGTTATGTTATATTGTGAGCCACAAGAACGGTAATTTAATTTCGTAAGGTTGTAAGGTATGGGGATGACCGTTCTTCTAAAATTCCCCTGTTCATTTTTTCCACTTCGAAACCACAAATGGTTAAATTGAGGATCCGAATATTCATCAAGTCTAACATCAGTGTGCCAAGTACACACAAGGTCTAAGTTGCATGTTTCAGGGTGTCTATCTTCCTTGTGGAATGAATTCATGCCGGATGCATCTACAGTTTCTACTGATAAGGCCAACAAGTCATTCAGGTATGGTCCTAAGGAAAACATGTTGTCTCTTACTGATAGATAGATCAATGTTGTGGGGAGAAATCTCAAAGCACCAGGTTCTACTTGCTGCAGACGATTGCTATCCATATGAAGTTCTTGTATGGATGTGTTTTTCAGATGCCTTATTTGATTAGTATGCAAATATGTATTCATATCAAAGACTTTATGGATTTTGTTAACTTTTAAAATCTTGATTGCGGAAAACTGAATGTCGGCTGTTACGTTTTCTAATACCTGAAATTTTAAGCATGTATTTCCTGATAAATCGAGGGAGGTAATATTTTTCATTGTATTAAACGACCCTATCTGTACTGATTTTATTTTGCACATAGACAAATTTAAATGTCGAACATGTGGTACATTCTGGAATGCATGTGGTGTTAAAACTGGTACTGAACAATGTCCTGTAAACCCAGAAAAATCCAGAAGCTTCAGGCGTTTGAGATTTCTAAACTGTTTACTCAGTATTGTTGTTTTATTATACACAAAATCCATTTTCAAAGTTTCCAATCGCACCAAAGATGATATGTCTGGTTGATATTCATCATAAAAGTTTTCCTTCAAATTTAAATAAACCAAGCTTTTAAAACTGGCAAACCATTGATGTGTAAAACTTTTCTTATTCAGGTTGTTTTGTTGAAGGTCGAGTTCTTTCAAATTTTCTAACCCAATGAAAGAAGATGATGAAATTGTTTTGATTCTATTGAATGAAAGATCCAACGATCTCAGAAGTGTGTTTTCCAAAAAGATACCATCTTTAATCACTTCCAATCTATTTATTCGTAGCGATAGTTTTAACAGTACATTCGGAAATCTCCTTATTTGTGTCATATTTAGTCCTGAACAATCTGCAAAGTAAAGCGATGATCTCTGGTCTCTTTTACACTCACATCTCTGATAGAACTCGCACGGTTTAAATCCATTATACCTTTTAATTATTGAAGCAGACCTGTAAAGTATTCCGAATGTAAGAACCAATATATATAACGGCCGTATCATGACGATGAAATAAATAACGAATTATTTAAATTTCTCAAACTTGACCAACGTGTAGATAAAGTGACAGTGGAATCACTTAATTTATCGAAGAGTTACTACTACTACAATCTCCAAATGCAATGGTCTCATTTGAAACACATGTATATATATACAAAAAAAAATAACTCTTTGAAAATATTATATTAGTGTTACCATTACAAGTGGTGCTAAAGTTTGATAACAATATAAATCTTTTACTTATTTATTTCCTTGTTTAACATCCGTAGATAGAAATACATGATGAAAGTATAAAAAGTTGATTAAGTTTACAGCTATTCACATTTGTCATTTTAATTATTTCCTGCTATTTCTACATTTTATAAACACATATTCCGTCTATTTCCATAGCAAATAACAAAAATTGTATTTTTTTGTTTTAGTAATTCAGATGTATTCAATATATAGTTGGTTTATTTTGGCTTTTCCAAAATTTTGAATTTTATTGGCAAAATATTAAAAAGTCATCATGTTAGAGTTCGCATAATTATTGCGAACCCAATGGGATATTGGTGGATTATGTTGGAACAACACTTCATTAATTAGCCAAGGTAAATCCAGGTAAATGTTTTGGAAATTAAAAATATGATGATGATGATGATGATGGATAAAATTAAGAATAGAAATGGGGAATATGTCAAAGCGACAACAACCCGACCAAAGATCAATAAAGAGCAGACAACAGCCGAAGGCCACCAATGGGTCTTCAATGCAGCGAGAAAATCCCGCACCCGGAGGTGGTCCTCAGCTAGCCCCTAACTAAAATTGCGTGCTAGTTCAGTGAAAATGGACGTCACACTAAACTCCAAAACATATAAATGAACTAAAATTAAAAAACATACTATACTAACAAAGGCCAGAGGCTCCTGACATAAATATTAAATTTGTTTTGTACTAAACCAACACGCTTAGTCGGATTTTTGACGTGCTAGTCCACAAAGTAACAGTCCGCAGGAAGACATTTCACCCTACCCGGACACATTTATATGACCCTGAGCTAACAAGTATTTGCTGCCACATGCTTAGCGTAAAAGCAGCAAATACCAATTTTAAAATTTTTGGTTTGACCTGGCCAGGATTCGAACCTAATATGACTTCCCGCACTCGAGGCGAACACGCTACCACGAGAAAAATACTGTATCATGTTATCATAGCATAGCTTTTTTATAATGACTCCAAAACGGTGATTCTTTCCATCTGATCAAAATAGAAATGTTATACGTGGTTAATACCTTAAATATAGCTTTCGTTGCACTGATTAGTTTATTAGGATTTTTTTCTGTAATGTCAGGGAGCGTAATAGTCGCTTATTAAAACAAAGATAAATGTTCGCATAAGTCGACTTTCGTTTATTTATTAATGAACATAATATCATAGTATATATAGTCATAACAGAAGAAAGTCCCATTAACAATTGTTTCAATTGATAACTCAAATCCGAACTTGTTGATAAGGAAGAATTCTAATGGATTGAAAAATCGTCGGTTTATTCATGCTATTCGAACTTTTTAATACAACATATACAGTTAAGTCTGCCTCATATCTTGACTTACATCAAGAAATTGAAAATGAGAGTCGGTTGAAACAAAACTTTACGACAAAAGAGATGATTTCAGCTTCCCAATTGTGAACTTTCCATTGCTTTGTAGCAACATTCCAGCAGCGGGAATTGGTTGACCGTTATGGAATATCCGTTTCACAGATGATAATGGATATGTTCCGAATGTCGTTACTACAATCCCGTCCTTTTTCTACGAATGTGACTTACCGAATAAGACTTATTAACGGGTTTGTACTAACATGAGCAACACGACAGGTGCCACATGTGAAGCAGGATCTGCTTACCCTTCCGGTGCATCTGAGATCACCCCCAGTTTTTGGTGGGTTTTGTGTTGCTCAGTCTTTAGTTTTTTTATGTTGTGTTTTGTGTACTATTGTTTGTCTGTTGGTCGTTTTCATTTTTAGCTATGGCGTTGTCAGTTTATTTTTGACTAATGAGTTTGAATGTCCCTTTCGTATCTTTCGCCTCTCTTTTAAATTCGGTATATGTCTGTTGGAGGACTATTATTTCAGATTTCGCCTAGATATGTTCATTATAACATTAATTAAATATTTACTACGTTTATCGATATATTGATGCTAATAACGTGGAAAATCAATAATTAATAATTTCTTTTATGACGTTAACTGCTGCAATGGAATGCCGGGATTGGTAGTACAATCATTTATATTTTTATCCCCTTATATTTTTTTAAATAATAGAACGCCGATGGCTGTTTAAATAGCTAAAAATCATCCAATAAAAATATATTAAATTAATGAACAGAAATGCAACTTTGTACATCCGTTAATTTGAAAGGTTGTTTGTAGGTATAAATTTTTGTTTTTATATATTGTAATGCCAAGAATAGATTGTACACATTTTATTTTCTTGTCTGTTTTCCGACTGGTATATTGAACAAAATATAACAGATGTTTTGTAGACAGTAAATGTACATACTCAGTCATGGTCTGCAAACATTTCATAAAACGTTCCAGGTGTGATAGTGATTTTGAATGTTTTATGAGATGTCGACGAGTTGAATACACAAAGGAATTAAAACAAGTATACATTTTGACGGTTTATTCACAGTTCTCCAACATATGAAAAATCCAATTCACGTTTATTCAACAAGTGTTAAACAATAGATTGGCTTGGTGTTTATATAGCAATCAAAATTGTTGTTTTTATGAAGTTATAGTGAGACCTGTATACAATGTTTCATATAATTTTCATATTATACTTTTTTAATAATAAGGTAAATTCAGAAAATCAGAAAAAAATCAAAAACAAATACTTTATAAAAGTTCTTCTTATACTGTTCAACTTTCGATTATAATCTAAAAGACAGCTTGAAAATTCATGGGTTTTTGTTTAACAATTGTTTAAAAAAAACCATTCGGCAACCATATTTAATAGTTATAACTATTACATATATATGCAGAAGATGAAAAAATCAATTTTAGAGTTACAATAAAAAAATAACAGTATCGTTCCACATCTTAAGTCGGGCGCTTATTTTATAAGGTAGATAACCCATTTGAGCTTGGCAAAGAATGCGCTTAGTTTGTAAATTTTGAATATGCTTATGCAAAGTTCAGCTGCTGTCAAAAATTAATCCTAAACAGATGCGGATCTAGGATTTTGATAAGGGGAGCCTGTTATTCCGCCCAACGAGCATTCGTCAACATTACCTATAGAAGCTGCTTTTTCCACAACACTCAATAAATGTTTCTCAAATACTATATTTTAAAGAGCTTGTCTCACAGAAAACCATGCAAAAGTGTCCAGGAGTGAATTTTGCGGAATCTCTTGAAATTTGGTACACACAACACTTAGGCCATGCCAATATCACTTGCAAAATTTTTTGCTTAAATTTTATCGGATAGCAGAGTTTTACAGCGCCATCTATTTTCTCCCTTTTTTACGGGAAAATTTCCAAATTCAAGGTTTTTTTATGAATTTTAATCCAACAAATAAACAGTTCTAGCCATGATAAATATCTCTTTTGCCCAATGCATGTGATAAAGCATTATTAAGGAAATAAAATTATGTAAGTAATAAATATATATTTGATTTTTTTTAAGTAGGGCCTGTATATTTATTAAACAGGTGTTTGAGGATTTGGCTATTTTACCAAATTTAGGACCTGAAGAAATGCTAAAATATAGAAAAGGTGAAGCTGTAATTAAAAGATGAATATATCAAAATGAACTACTATGATAGCTTAAAGAAATATAAAAAATCCACCCACGGCAAATATTTAGAAATATATTTATTATATATCACTGTACGGCTATTTTTCATAGTATTCTTATAAAAAACTTCATGTAACAAAAACTTTTTCTTAACACAAAGTCACAAATTAGGGTGCAATTCTTATCAAAATGAGTGATTTTATACTTCGACTGCTGTATCTTATTAATTCAAAGCAAAATCAAAGTGAAAACGATAATCAAAGTACTAAAAGCTCTCATGGAAAGACGGTTAGATTCAAAATACATGCAATTAGCAATTTGAAACTGCTAATTGCATGTTTTGTCTTTAACCTGTTTCCTTGAGTATATCTGGCACCTGCTTTTATATGTACTTTAATAATCATAATGAAATATAAGCACAGACATGTGCTGAATCCGCATATTTATTCAAATGTAATGTTGTTGGAAATTTTCCATGCTACTCATGAACATTAATTTGTGTGTAATTATGCCCGTTATTCAATATTTTGGTCCAATAGTACCTGATATGGAGGTTGTAAAATTAGAAAAACACAAATCCTAACATTAGTCAAAATGAAAAGAGCTTGGTTACATGTAGGTCAGGTTTGAAAAGGTGATGACAGAATATTTTTTTATCAATTTTTAACTAAAAAAAAACAAATCAGAATCTTTTTTTTTCCAGTGTAAATTACACAAAATTTTAGCTTTTTTTGTTTGTTTTTATACAATAAGACACTGAATCCTTTACATTTCTTTTTAATAGCCCATAATGACATTCAAATGATTAATCATAATCATGATTATAGAATTTATAGTTCATAAAATCATTGATACCAGCTGACTTGGCAAAAACTGATCAACTTTCAATTTACAGCAAAAGTAGCAATATCTTTGTCTTTGTACTATTCTATGAATTGTCACTTCCATTCTGGCTTATAATTCTCATTGTATATTCACAAAAACAAGATCAACAATCTAATATCTACCATGATTAGCATAATTCTTATTTTGGGTAGGTTCTCTCTATCGTCACATATTCACTTTCATTTTCAGAAACTAACTGTTTGGTGGTTGAGGTCTCTGATTTTTCGTACAGAAAGTATGCATTGATTCTTTTAGTTTTTTAAGATGTTAATCAGTTTCCTTTTTAACAAATTATCCAACTTGGGCAACTATTGCAGTTTATGTAATTTGGAGCTTCATTATAATCATGATTATCATGATTATGACTAAATACCATGATTACATAAATATGGAATTTTTCCAGTTCTACACCAGCTTCACAGATACATGTATAAGTAGTTTTGG